TTGATTGGCTGCCTCCTGCACGGCCCCTACTGGGGATTGAGCCCACAACCAGGAATATGCCCTTGACCAGAATCAAACCTGGGACCCTTCAGTCTGCAGGCTGGTGCTTTATCCACTGAGCCAAATCAGCTAGGGCTCAGGGACTTTTCTAAGTCTTGCCTGGTCATATCTTCCAAAACAGGGACATTTGATTCCATTGTCAGCAATTCTAGTGCTAAAGCTTACTCATTCCATGAACTAGAGAGCCTAACCGCACTCTCCTTTCACCTTGAAGAACATTTTACCAAATCAGGGTGGATTTGGGGAACTCTAAGACTTAAATTGTTATTAAACAGAAAATGCTTTTTTTTTTCTTTAGTAACATGGGTTATGGTCAGTTTCCCATTCCCCACCCCCATTCTCAGTCTCATAGTTCCGTTTTTTTGTAATTTCTCTATCCTGTTTCTTCCAAACCCTATCCTGGTAGCAGATGAAAAGAAAAGCTCTAGCAAAGTTCCGTAAATATCTGATACATACACATTCAGGATCCCTTGAGTTTACTCCTTCATTTATTCCACAAATATTTGTGGATCACCTAGTATGTGCCAAGCACTATTCTCATATTAAGAGTTGCACAGTTAACCAGAGACAAAACCCATAATCTTAGGGAGCAAAAATTATAGTTGAAGGAGATTGATAGTAAACTAATAAAATGCTATTGTTAGTTGGTTAAAAGAGTTAAGAGGGGGGGGAAATGAAAAAAAGGTAAAGGGAGTGGCCAGGAGCCGTTGTTTGGGAAGGGATGGTCAGGGGAGGCTTCTCTGACAAGCAATATTTGAGTGAGCCATTGGTTATTAATGGGAAGAGGATACCAGGCAGAGATAAGAGCAAGTCCAAAAGCTTGAGGCAAGAGCGTGCTTGGTGTGTCCAAGAAAGAGCAAGGTGGTTCCTGTGGGGACCAGGTTCCAGTGAGAAAGAGAATGATATGAGATGAGCTCAAAGATGAACTTTATGGGACTATACTTCAAGACATTTTGTATTGTTCTCAATATTATAGATGTCTCCCAATTCTTCCCCTTTGCCCACCACCTCACAGGTCCCTGTTCCATCCCAGCGCTTGTTTTTAAAAGATCATTCTTACTGCTTCAAAATGTATAGACTGCAAGGATTTGAGAGAATTCTAGCCACGAGATATGCTCAGAACATGTGCTAATAGCACCCCAGGCAAGATATGTGAATCAGACTATGATAGCAGCGGCTGTGATGAGAAGTAGCAGCTAGATTTCAGAAGCAGAATCATTAGAATTTTCTGAGGGACCAAATATGAGATTTGAGAGAGAGAAGTTATGTCTAGCTCCACAATTTTAAGAACTGGGGCTTGAACTACTGGAAGTTCTTGATTTATTGAAATAAAGATGACTGAAGGAAGATGACAGTTAGGGTAAAGAAATGAATAGGCTCTATAGATCTATCAGACATCCTGGTGAGGGACGGTGAGCAGACAGTTGACTCTAAGAATTTAGAATGTCGTTGAAAGGCCTAGACTGGAGATACAAGTTTAAATCTGTGTTTAAAATGTGATTCCAGACTATTCATGTCATCATCATAACTTAAATCTCTTTCTCCTCTGGAAAATATCTGCCTGGAAAGACAGCTAGAAAAGTTTAACTGAGACTCAAAGTTACATAACCCAAAGGTTATGAGACTATAACCTCTTTACTGCTATACCCATGGAGTCTAAGGCAATGTCTGGCATAAGAGAGAAAATGACACAGAAAGAGGCATAAAGATGAACACCTAAGTTTCCACCTTAGAAAAATGGTTATTCAATTTATTGAAATAAGTAACATAGGACGAAGAGAACTTGGATGGGAGAAGGTAGAGTGATCATGGGAGACAATGATTTTGAGGTATTCATGAAGCATTCAATAGGACATGTACAAAAGCTTTGGACTAGTGGGTCTGGAGCTCAGAAGAAAGCCCCAAATTTAGGATCACCTGCAAGCAAACGATAGCTTTGGTTGTATATAAGTTGATGAGAGCATGAGAAGGTGTCATCCTACAATGGATGGGGGAGCCAACACTTGCACCTGCTGATCAGGTTCTGTAAACACAATAATTATCTGTTTTCCCACATCATGTCTGAACCAAACACTACAATAGTGGAGAAAGTCTTCTCTAGGATTGTAAGCCTCAGTGAGCTATATAAGACAAAGAGGCTGTTCTCTGAGGTCTCTTGAAACCTGCATTTCAGTTCAGTCCCTGCTTCACTCACTTCCCAGAGTCCTCCAAGGATGCCCCCAGCCAGTAGGTTCCATAGCTGCTCCAGCCAGCCAGACCCATCCCAGAAATGTGAGAACATTGGGTATAGAATCAAAAGACTCAGAGACAAGCTTATTTAGTCCAATTAATATCTTTATAACCTAAAGTAAGCACAGACCCTAATAGTTCTTATGTCTCTCATATGTAAGAAAATACCTTCTAATCCAGCCAACATGGACCAGTTGGCTGAGTGTTGTCCCATGAACCAAGAGGTCACCAGTTTGATTCCCATACAGAGCACATGCCCAGGTTGTGGGCTTAGTCCCCAGGGTGAGGCCTGAAGAAGGCAGCCAATCAATGATTCTCTCTCATCACTGATGTTTCTATCTCTCTTTCCCTCTCCCTTCCTCTCTCTGAAATCAATACAAATATATTTACATACACTCACAACCAACTACAAAAGGTAAAGACTTTATTTTACTTAGAACAAAAATTTACAAATATGCTGCAAACCAGAGAGCATCAGCTGCCACCACACTCTCAATTGGTGAGTGTAGCCATGTAAGCAGTGAGCTAGGCCTTCTCCTGAGCTGCCTACCATGTCCAGGAAAATGGTCACTTCTTAAAAGCACTCCATTATAGAATAAAAAGGACAGTAAAACATGTTAGTGTCTTCCAGCCTTTCCGACAAATGCTTTTCAAGGGGGAAATTTGGCCAGCATTGTTTATCCCACAGACCCTATTTGCAGTGCACTAAAATTCTGCAAAAGGCATTGGGGGAAATGCAGGATTAGACAAATCCTCTCTGAAGGCTCTGAGCTGAAACCCCTGTTGACTGATCAGGCACTGTGAGTGCTGGGCACTGCTGTGGGAATAGTATCTGCAGGTCTGGGTCTGGCTCCAGGGAGCTGGAATCAGAGAGGGACCCCATTGCAGAGAAGAAAGCACTGGCCCTGCAGCTAACCTCCTCTGCCCATCACAGAGTTTTGTATGAGAGTTGCTTAATCTTCCTCCAGAGAGTCCTGCAGGCGCTGGATGATCTAGGCTCTTTAGAGGAGCGATAGAGAAAGACCCTCTCTTGGCTGACATTAAGAGGGCAAAGGGCAGCAAATAGCCCTGTTGGCTCACCTTGAGAGAGCTGAATGCCCGCCAAATAGAGAGGCTGGTTTATTAGTAATAGCTACTTGGCTGGAGAGAATACACCTGCAAATACTCAGGTGGGTGGACTGTTTCAAAGCCAAGGCTGAGCTTGGATTGGCTCCTCCCCAGCTATCAATCCATGAGGTGAAGCCCAAGCCCAGACTAATTCTACAATACATAGGACCTCTGTGGCTGCTTCACAAGGAGCATGCCTTTCCCACTGCATTGAAATGGACTCGGAAATAAGGATTCCCATTAGCTAAAAAAAAAAAAAAAAAAAAAAAAAAAAAAAAAAAAAAAAAAGCCCAGGAAGGTAGCAGTCCCTATCTGCACCTTGCCAGGTACCTTTCAGGTTGTGATAAGAGAGAAGGAGGAAAGGACAGTGTGGGATCAGGTAAGTGGGAGGTTTGGGGGCATAAAGTTAAGGGAGTTCTGTTTTCTTCATGAAGCAGGAAACATGGTCATTGTCTTACTACAAAGAGGAATAGGGAATGCTTGGAAAAGATGAGCAGTATTTGAAATATCTGAGGAGAAAAAGCTGCTGCCTAGGGAAATCATATACTTTCCAAGCAGCATGATGTTCTCCCTCACCCCTCAGCAGTCCGGATTCAGAGAAACCTGAATTAGACTCCTGTAGATTGATACAGGCTTGGTATTTAGGATAAGGACAAGGGACAAATGGTGGGCCATAAGGTCTGCTCTGAATATGGAAAGAAGTTTTCGGCCATAGACAAAGAAAAAGTAGCCCAGAGTTCCCAATGGAGTTTATAAAGGGGGGAAATCATTGAAAATGTCAGTCAATAGAAGGTTGTAATCAGTCTCTTCACCCGCTTTTGTCCAGGCTTCACTTCTCCCCTGAAATCTGTCAGTCTGTTCCACGTGTCCATGCGTCTGGTTCTATTTTGTTTATCAGTTTAAAAGATTTGCCAAAGAACGTATATGCATAGTCCATGGACATGGACAACAGCCAGGTGAAGGCCAGGGCTGGGGCTAGGGTGGAGGTGGACAAAGAGGGGGGAAATGGAGATTATCTGCAAAAGTGTCAACATTAAAAAAATAAGGTTGTGCGATGAGACTAAAGGGAGAGTAGATCATGAACCAAAGTCTTTGGTGAATGTGGGAGAGTGCCTATTGCTCAGTAGTCATAGAAATGAAGAGAGAGGGTAGTATAGATAGATCTGGTGGTGGTGGTGGTAGTGGTTGTTGTTGGCTGTGGTGGTGGTTGTGGTTGTTCCTGTTGGTGGTGGTGGTGGTTATTATTGGTGGTGGTTGGTGATGACTGTGGTTGGTGGTAGTGGGTGGTGGTGGTTGTTGTTGGCGGTCTGTCACAAAATGATGAAGGAGCAATGACGTAGAAGCTCATGGAGAACACAGACTCACTCCTGCAGTACCGGAGTAGGATAGAACAAACAGCCTCCCTGAGAGCAGTGCAGAGAGTCCTGGGGAGTGGCGGGGGGGAGCTTAGTGAGTGATAAAGAATAGGAGAGGTGGGTGGGAAGCTGTTTTGCAAGAAAGGTGGGAGGGATGGGAGGAAGAGGGCCAGTGGGAAGACTGTTATCTCTCTATGGTGATGTCCACTCTCATAAGAGTCTAAATTCTTCCTAAAGGAGAATGAGAAGATGGAATTCCCCCTTGGGTCCCTGGAAACTACCAACTTCCGCCGATTCACTCCAGAGTCCCTGGTGGAGATTGAAAAGAGAATTGCGGCCAAGCAGGCAGAAAAAAAAGCCAAAGGTAAGCAGAGTAAGCAGAAGCAGAAGCAGAAGCAAGACCAAGAGGAGAAGCCTCGGCCCCAGCTCGACTTGAAAGCTTGCAACCAGCTGCCCAAGTTCTATGGTGAACTCCCGGCAGAGCTGATCGGGGAGCCCCTGGAGGATCTGGATCCCTTCTACTCTGCACACAGGGTAAGGGCTACTGGCTGGAGTGGCTGTTCTCAGCTCTGGGAGAGAAAGGCTCTGTCCCCACCCAGCCTGGGAGTCCTTCTGCATCTTGGGGGATGTGGTTGTCAGCTAGACTCCGTCAACAAAAAGGAAATGTAACTCACTTCTTAGACATTCTCTTTGAATCTGTATGGTTTGTAGAGAGAATAAAGGCACTGGACTGTCTTCCTCCCTCCTCTCATCTGCCAAGAGCCCTCATCCTCCTAGATATTCAGAGGAGGGTTTAAAAGGAAAGACCTAGGAGAAGGACCTAGGAGAAGGACAGAAGGGACTAGAGGTGATCCACTAATTAGAAGAGAAATTAAATGCCAACCAGAACCCCATCCTCCAGCCCTGGGCATGATGCATCTTAGCTGCCCCCTGGTCAGCCGCCTGTCTACTGGGCACTTGCAGTGGGTTCATTCTGATGCACAGTCAGCCATGAGGGCTGGGGTCTTGCTGGGAGGGTGGGGGTATGGCTATTAGCCCATGATCCTCGCTAACTCTCTGTTTCTCCATTTGGCTCTCACTGATCCATGGTTCCCAGATCCTCTTGCTCATGAGCCTGAGATGATGCCATTCAAGCTCAAAAACATGGTTGTGTGAGGATGTGTGTTTCTCACTGGCGGTCCCCCTTCTGTTGTGTTTTGTTGCAGACATTCATGGTGCTGAACAAAGGGAGGACCATTTCCCGGTTTAGTGCCACTCGGGCCCTGTGGCTATTCAGTCCTTTCAACCCGATCAGAAGAACAGCCATCAAAGTGTCTGTCCACTCATATCCTTTGCACAGTTGATTCTTCCACATCTCCTGAAGGGTCCCAGATTGCAAGAGGACACAGGCCAGGCCGAGGCACCCCACCGTGCACCATTGGGCCTTGCCCATTGTGTCTAGTACCTGTTTCAGAAGTTAGCAATAGAGCCTTCCTCCAACTCTGTCCTTTTTTCAATCGTTACATTGAAAAAAAAAAAAAAACTATTTGTGGCTTTAATGTACCCAACACCTGAAAGCAGTCCCAAGGCGGAGGAGATCTTCATGTCACCCAGAGATGGGATTGTCATCAGGACTAGTATGGACACACCTTTGGATGCACATGTTGAAAAATGTTCTCTCTCTGAGGGGAGCTTTGCTGACACACCAGGCACATTCTCACCATGTGTGGTCGGCTCTTCCCACAACATAAAGACAGTAAAAGGGCTCTAAGTCTTCTTTGGGCCAATGAGATAGGCATGGTATATCTGTGCCCTAGCCATGCTGGGGAGTGGCTGCTTATTGGGCAAAGGAGCAGCACTTCCCTGAGGGCCAAGAGAACAGACAGCAATGGGCTGAGGACAGATTGTTTCAATGGGTTCGCGCTGGTCATGTGGCACTAAATTAACCCCCAAACTACCAGCTGATTAAAACTGTCAATAGCTCAAGTCATAAATTACCCCCAAACTACCAGCTGATTAAAACTGTCAATAGCCCAAGGTTCATGCCATTAGAGAATGTAATGATTAGCATGATCAAATGTCTGTATTATATTTAGGAAGCTGGCTTCAGGTTTTGGGGATGGGATTTTCTGTTTGTATATTTTTTCCAAGACCAGTAAAACTAGTACAAATAAGAGACTTTTGCTTGGTTTCCAAGGATCTTCCCCGGTGACTCTCCAAGGTGGATGTTCCAGAGTTGATTTCAGCTCTGGCTTCCAGGAGATTGATTTGCAAGAACAGCCTTGCTTCAGCTGCCTAGTGGGTTTTTCCTAAGAGGCTCCAGGAAAAGGAGTTCTCTCCCTGCACCCTGGGGCAGCTCCCAGTGAGCTGGTACCCCCGGCACAGTGATCTCAACGTGAAACTGTGCCGCAGGAAGTGTCATAACAATTTCCCTTCCCATGCTTTATGGTTAACCAGTGGGAAGTATATTTCCTTAATTGAATCTTGAATTTCTTGATTCTACAGAGAAGTTTCATGATAATAATAGGCTCCCATTTGCTATATACCCCCTAAGTGTCGACACTCTTATAGGTATGGAAACCCTTGACGAAAGGATTAACCTCCCCATTTTACAGATAATAAAACTGACACTCAGAGGCATTAAGTACAGTGTCCAAGGTCACTCCACTCATTAAAAATGTTCATCCTACATCCTGCTATGGGCAGTATCAACAATAAAGAAGTAGGCAGCTAATGAAAATGAATTAGGGTAATTTATTCTCTCAGTATGTCATCTCTACTAGGGTTTTCCTTATTTGTAATTTTATGCACAATTACATAAAATTACAAAGAAAGAAAAACAGCAAATGCACAAAATTCCCTCCATGCATCCTGGTTGAATTACATCTAAGAAAGAAACAGCTAATTAGAAACAAAATCACTTTAAAGAACCAAGTGAACATTGAATATTCTTTTTTATTATTGTTGACAATATTACAGATGTCCCCCATTTCCACCCCTTTAGCCCCCTCCACCCAGCCACCACCCTATCCCAGACCTTCCCCACACTATTGGCTGTGTCCATGGATTATGCATATTCTTTTTATCTTGATATTTTATGAATAAATAACTATGTAGAAGGTCTACTCATCACAGACTTATCAAAATCTGCATTTATATATGTAAATCTCAGGAACTTGGATATCTCTAGCCTCAAAAGATACTCTTTTTAAAAATATATATATTTTATTGATTTTTTACAGGGAGGAGGAGAGAGAAATAGAGAGTTAGAAACATTGATGAGAGAGAATCATCGATCAGCTGCCTCCTGCACACCCCCTACTGGGGATGTGCCCGCAACCAAGGTACATGCCCTTGACTGGAATCGAACCTGGGAACTTTCAGTTCATAGGCCGACGCTCTATCCACTGAGCCATACTGGTTTTGGCCAAAAGATACTCTTTTTAAGGTATTGGATTCTCATTGTCCTATTATTACTATTTCATCAAAATTATAATTCTAATCAAATTAACTATGAATGTTTTTATAAGTAATATTATACATACTATATCATATTACTTTTAAAAGTTTGTGGAATTGAAGATATAATTTTATATTTATCCTTGGGTTAACATGCCCCCTCCATGTGAATACATTTCTTACTTTAATTGCAAGTCAACAGGAAACTGTGGCTTAATTAGTAGAATTTCCCTTTTTAAAATAGAAGTGTTCCTAAGTAAATATGATACAGGGCACATTTAAGACATTTACCAAAAAAAAAAAAAAAAAAACCAAAAAAAACCACTCTCACTCAGAACTAAAATAGATTTAAATACTTCTGCTCAAGCTGAAATTATGTAAGATAAGCGGTTCTCTCTCTGTGTATGTCAAGTTCATCTTCAGGCTTTATTTTTTTCGGGAAGGAATTGTCAAGAACCCAGCTAGTTCTGAGAAAAATGTCCAAAAGGAGACATTGATTGTTAGATTTCCCCCATCTATTTACCCCTCCCACTTGCCTTCCTGTTCAGTGTCCCCTTCCACTTCCGATACTCCCTTGCCCAGTCTCTCCTCTAAGAGACTCCTCTCTGGCTGCCCAGAGTTCTCACCACAGCCTAATCCTACTTGGCATCTCTACCTCGAACCAGCATTTCACTTCCTGTGCCTGCCTCCACCATTCCTGGCCAGAAGTCTATTTCTTCACTAACTTAGGAAAACAATCTGATTTAAGCTGATTTCCATGGAAGCTGGTAGCCCTCCCATTATTTCTAAGTTCCCAGGAGCATTCTCTGTCTTTTAGGGGAAGAGAGACATTGATGGATGAAACTTCGTATTGTAAAGTGGAGTGAAGTCTTAGCAAACCCCCTGAGTTCACACCTTGGCATCATGGTTGACTAGCTGTGTGAGCAGGGGAAAATGACCTAAGCTTTATCAGCCTGTTTTCTTAGCTCCAAAATGTAGACAATAATATCCACCTCTAGGGTAATTGTGTCAGAAAAAATGTGGACAGAGTACTCAACCCATAGTAGGCACTCAGGAAATGCTCCTGGTTATTAAGCGACAAGACCTTGAAGCTAATCTTAGCGAAGAGGTATGAATTTCATCATCATTCAGCATCAAGGGGATCACATGCTATTTACTGTGTGACTCTCAGCTTTTCCTTAACCCAGCCTTGCAGGTGGTTCAGCACATTTATCACAGTCACGATCGTGGTCAATTGTGTGTGTATGACCCGCACCGACCTTCCAGAGAAGATGGAGTGAGTAGATTTGCTGTCCTTCGCAGCCTTTCCTTTTGGTCCTCTTCTTCTCTTCCTCCTCGTGGCAGCATTCCCCCCTGTTATTTATTCAGTGGGGTCTCATTTGGGTAATGTGGGATCCTATTGTTTATCTGACTTCGTAATGGTCATATATCTTCTCTGTAGACTTTGTTTCATATGATTTTCAGCTTTAAAGAACTGTACTAGTGCATTAGTGGTTCTCAACCTTGGCTGTGCATTGGAATCTCCTGGGGAGATTTAAAAAAATATCGATGTTGGTATCTCAGTCTCAGAAGGTCCAATTTCTGTGATCTGGACAGATGGATTTCCTGCCAGATATACACCCATCCACCTGCTAGGTGCACACAAGAATGAACTTTAGGGAAGGCCTACTCTTGGAAAGAGAGTCAGGAACAAAATTGAGACAGAATGAAGAACAAATATATATTTGGATTATGTTCAGAAAATAATCCATGAATGAAGCTGGGTAAGTTATCATAGCTCATATACTTCGAAGGGACCTTAGTATATGAGCTATGATGCTCATAACGTTCCATTTTGTGACATGAGTAGTTTGTCATGTGCTACTATGGGCTGAATTGTGTCCCCCAAAATGTATATGTTAAAGCCCTAACCCCACCCACCTCGTATTGGAGAACGGGCCTTAAGGTGGTGATTCAAGTTAAATGAGTCATAGGGCACAGCCGTGACCCCATAGAACTGGTACCTATAAAAAGAGGAATGGACATCAGAGCTTTCTATCTGCCATGTGAGGACCCAGCCAGAAAGAGGACCTTAGCCAGCCAGGAAAGGGCCTTCCCCAACGCCTGACCCTGCTGGCACCCCGATCTTTAACTTCCCGCCTCCAGAACTGTTTGTTGTTTTACCACCCTCCCTGTGGTATCTTGTCACGGAGCTAATACACAAGCATTCACTTTACAACTAATTTATGTTTCATGTGCGTTTTTTATTGTGCATGTTACATATCGAAACAAAAAGCTTAAAAACAAAGTAATTGGGAAAAAAATAAATTACCAATGCATAAAATGCAGAATACTGAAAACTCAAAATCAGAAGATAGTAACTAGGTAGAGAGGCAGCGAAATCCCTGAATTTTAGTTTATTGTCCTTCTCTCTCTCTCTCTCTCCCTCTCCCCCTCATAGATGAAGATAGAGATAGGTAGATGATATATAGATAGATAAAGATATAGAGATAGAGATATATAATGTAGGCATCGATATAAAGATAGAGGTAGCGATAGCAATAGAGATAGAGAGGGATGGAGACAGTTCTAAAATGGCTGAGCTCATAGACATGTAACATTTCTGTTTTTCTTCTGAACTTTTAATGCAAAGCATTTTCTCTCAAAACTAAAAGTTATTTGGGGATTCTTGTTAAACACAGAAGACAGCATGCATATGTTTTACCCCAACTCTCTCAAAACGCTGCTAAAATGACAGCATGGGAACAAGAACGGTATAAATATACACGAACAAAGGAAAGCACAGAGGACACGAGATGTCAAAACAATCTCGGAAGACTGCAAGTGCGAAGAGGACTCGGGAAGGACTTAGCAGCTCAGAGATTGTTAAACTTCCGTGCCTGCAGGGAGAGACAAAAATGAGGAT